AACATCAACAATCCAACAACAGTAGAGAAAAACTCACCGAAAACGGAAAAAAAATAAAAATCAGCAAAGAGCCGGCTCCAGTAAAATGTAGAGCCGCCTCTACCTAGTATGGAGCCGGCTCAACTTCAATGGAGCCGCCTCCATTGAAGGGGGAGCCGCCTCCACTCTTCCCAGTATCTGTCTTCTTCTTCTTCGGTTACTTTCTGACTTTTCAACTGCCCTTGTTAAGGTTCCTAACCCTCTGTTCTAAGTCCCAAGCAGTCCCAGTTAATTATAAGTTGTATTTATGCTTCACTTACATGAATCAAAACAAGTTTGCGTTCAAGGAAAATCAATAATCAAACCAAAAGCATATATTAACTGTAACCACCGTTTTAATTCGATTCAATGAAATTCAATTCCAATCAATTGAAGCATGATTAAAAGATCAATTTTAATGTCCGTTAAACTCTTGGAGACTACCTAGGCATGCACAGAACACAAGTTTAGGGAAAAGAGTTATAATAAAACTTGTCTTTGAGATTTCGGATTAAAATCTTCACATCGTCTTCCTAGATCTTCCGGCGACTCTAGTTGCCATCGAAGCTCTCTGTTATCCTGTTCTAGCCTACACACAGCCTACCCTTCTTCCTCCTTGGTCTAGTCTTGGACTTTGGCCAAAACCCTAGCCCCAGGCTCTCTCTGTTTATCTCACTCTCCTTGCCTCTCTAACAGATACGTGAATAGAGTTTTCTAAACCCTTGGCAGACAAAACATAAATATATATAGGTTTATACAAAACCTAATTCTAATCCTACTTACACCCTAAGTCAGACCGAAAGAAAAAATAAAATATAATATAAAATAACTACATCTAATATATGTCGGCACCCTAATCCACCGTGATATATATATATATATATATATATATATATATATATATATATATATATATAATTATATAATATATATCATATACTGAAAATCACTATTAATGTCACTATTAATTATATTTAAAAATTAATAAAAACTTAAATACATATATACCCATATATATACGTACCACTATTCATGGTTAATATCTGTACCCATTTAAACCTCCTTTCCAAGTAGTCCATGAGACTCCAAACGGTTGGTCCATTACTACTGTCCAAGCCCAACTCCTTTAAAATAAAAATGAAATTAAAATTAAACAATTAATCATTTAAACTAACAAATAAGTTATAAGAAATTTCACACAATTAATTCAATTAAACATATAACATGAAACCATATAAACAAATAACAACATAAATACCGAAAACACAATAAAAAAAAAAAATTAAATTTCAATTATATCCTTTTGAAAATTAGGAGTATTACATGCTGTTAAATGGTTTTAAAATCAATGAGTGTGATAAATGTATTTATGTGAAAAACACTCAAAATGGATATTTTATTGTGTGCCTATATGTGGATGATATGTTAATAATGGGTAGTAATGATGTTATAATCAAAACTACTAAAAAGATGTTGACCAAAAAATTCGATATGAAATATTTAGGCATAACTGATGTCACACTAGGAATCAAGATTTCTAGAACATTAGATAGTCTAGTATTATCTCAATCTCACTATATTGAGAAAATATTTGAAAAGTTTAATAAGGAAGATAGTAGTCTTGTAAAGACCCTATTGATGTAAATCTTCATTTATCGAAAAATATTGGTCCTGACATATCACAACTTAAGTATTCTCGCATTATAGGAAGCTTAATGTATTTGATGAATTGCACACGACCAGACATAGCATACTCAGTTAATAAATTGAGTAGATATAAAAATAATCCAAGATAGAACCATTAGACTGCAATAAATAGGGTTCTAAGGTATTTAAGATATACCATAAGTTATGGTTTACATTATTCTAGATATCCAACAGTACTTGAAGAATACAATGATGCTAATTGGATATCAGATACAAAGGATTCTAAATCCACAAGTGGCTATATCTTTATTAATGGAGGAGGTGCCATATCTTGGAAATCTTCAAAACAAACTTGTATTGCCAGATCCACTATGGAATCTGAATTTATTTCTTTGGATAAAGCTGGTGAAGAAACTGAGTGGCTTCGTAATATCTTAGAAGATATTCCAAATTGGCCTAAACATGTGCCCTCTATATGTATACATTGCGATAGTCAATCAGCAATTAGAAGGGCACAAAGTAATATCGATAATGGTAAGTCTCGACATATACGTCTACCGTTAGACAATTACTCTCAAGTGGGATAATCTCAATAGATTATATCAGGTCAAAAGATAATTTAGCGGATCCGTTTACAAAAGGTTTAACAAGAGAGCAAATGTATAGTTCATCGAAGGGAATGGGATTAAAGTCGAAAGCTAACGAGTCTTCTTAATGGAAACCCAACCTAGTTGACTGGAGATCTCAAGATCTAAGTTCAAAGGGACAACAGAAATTCTGAATGGCTCACCAGAAGCACGGAAAAGATTTAATCTTCTACCCATTACTAAGATGAGACAGTGTTACCTACAGCGATGAATAGGATAAGCTATACTTTTAATGACTCTTATAACCTTGAAAATTTAAGTGGGGTATAGTAGGATACTCTTAATAAGAAGTCACTTATATAAATGTGAAATGGGGCCGCTTCTTTGAGAATTTCTAAGGCTAGGTTTTCTAGAGCACTCATGAAATACCAAGAGTTGTTCAGGGCCATATGAACACAACTGTGAGAACCGACTTTTTGTGGGAAGGAACTGTGTGTGTGCTATTATCTTGATTTACATCAACGGCTAAACAGTTTAAAACATCATGCTCACTGGTTAGCCAATAAATCCGATAGTAATACACTAAGGAAGGTTCAAGGCCAAAAGCTACATATCCCGATGTAGTTACTTTCCAATAGTACTATCTCTAATGTCTGTATCTTCTTCATTTGCATTTTAAGCAAATTTTCATTCCTGTAGGGGATTGTTGAAAACGGGGGCATTAAAAACATAAACTTTGGATGAGATTTGGAATAGATTCCGCTAAGAATTTTTTGTAGATCTCTAGACGAGTGCGTTTCTCTCCGCAAGGAAATAAACGTGGTATATTTACTTTCTCAAATTCTTTTCCGGGTGAATGAGAAATTAGCTCCAAAGTGTGGTGTTTTGATAAACCTAAATGAGTATGCAAAATGTGGGAAGTGTTTGTCCCACATGGAAAAAATGTTGAAACCAATTGAAATTTAAATAAACTAAATTAGGGATTTGGGCTTGGGCCTAATTGTAAGGTCCGATTATTCTTTTTACTAAATGAAATTTTGGATTAGGCCTTTATTTTTGGGCTTATTTAAATGGGTGGTTGATTTTTGAATTTAAACTAAAAGTTAGTTTTTTTTTTTTTTTTTTTTTTCAAAGGGTTGCATCTATTTCCAAAAGGTTGCATCTGTTTCTAAAGGGTTGCAACTGGTGCTGAACCAACATGACCCATAGTTGCACCCATACCCGAAAAGGCACTTTGCTTCCTATAAATACCCTCATTTTCCAACAGGTCCTCCTCGTTTCTCACATTGTGCAATGTAGGGTCCGCTTTTGGCTCCCAAGTCAAAGCTTCCTTTGATGATGCGTGGGAAAAACGCAAAGACTGGTGTTTCCAAAATGTTGGGCCCATAGTTTATGGATAAATATAATGTCAGGTATTTCATTGAAATGGTGAGTATATTAACTGGGGCTGATGTTAAGTCTGGTCCAGCTTTAATTCCATATTTGTGGCCTACATTTATAAATGACCAATTGACTATGGGTCTTCGTTTGGGCTGGGACGTGGAATGCTTTTATAGTTGCAAGGTCTTTGGGCCCATATTTTATATTATGGTAGCTTTGTTTGGTTTTGTCCTATAACTTTGCATCGTGTTATTTTATTTGGTTATGTTTTGTAAATATCGTATGGCTATTTCTTATTGCCAGGAAAAAAATAATAATAATAAAATAAAATTTGTTTTTGGGGGGTATGTGTGCGTTAGAGAAGAAATACTTATTTTTTAAATTTTTACAAGAGCCTCTCTATTCTCTCCTCCTTTTATCTTCATATTTTTTCTAGAATCATTTGATGTGTTTATAGACAAGAAGTGATTGAATTACGTCGTCTACATTCGGACATAAATATCATCTACAAACTATTGAGTTGTATCTTATAGCGGGTACTACTGTCAACATCCGCACACAATATTTAGCACACCTCTCAATTTCAAAGGCCACCTTTTTTTAAAAAAAAAATCTTATTTAATTTAATTTTACTTTATTTATATAATTATAATTGTAATGCTTCTGCGTCCCCTTCTCGTCAACTTCAAATAGTATAAACAAGAAAAAGGGAGCCAGACAGCTAGTGGGTGTTTTAATTACTTCGTATAATGGGAGCTCTACAATTTTTTATTTTTACTTTAATTGATTGAAGATTTCATTATCTATTATTTAACTATGGATTTAAAAAATAATAATAGAATTAGAATATATATATATATATATATATATTTATATTTTGAGACCATTGTCCGAAATTGGAACCCTCACATTAAAGATGTGGCCTATTAGTATGTACTCCCCTTTTATTCTTTTCCTTGTTTTTGAAAAGACACCTTTTCTCTTTACCTTTCAAGGTAGGGAGTTTAAATAAAAATAAATAAATAATAAATAAATAAAAACTCGTGGTAATTTTAATCTTACCAGGATACGAATTAATTAAGCAGCTTTTACCATGGCCCACGCCCCATGCCCAGCTCATCACCCACAGTAGCACTTTCGCTTGAGACATGAATATTCCAATGGCCACACATTATATATATATATATATATATATATATATATATATATATATCTTGTTTATTATATTAATTTATTATTAACAAATAGCAACATGCCAATTTAATTAATCCGAGTACAATACACGAGAATTTGAATATGAATTTTTGCAATTGAAACGTATATTGTCTGTGTTCCTTTTTGAAGCATTTTATTAGATGCCGTGTTTGGACAACCTTCTTTTTTTTTACGAAATATTAAGCAAAATTGTTTGGACAACTTCACTATTATGGAGCTGAGTTAGCAAGATAAAAACAATAAGTCCATATTGTAGATAAGAATCAAAACAAACCCAACATAAAAAAATTTAAAAAAAAAAAAAAAAAAATGGAAGAATAATAATTAGGTCTTAATCTTTAATTTATATAATAATTTAAACTTTAAACTAATTTTTTTAAAATTCTAATTCAAAAGGCCAATTCTGTTAGGGTTTGATTTACCCATTGCTAACTCATTTTCTGATAAAAAGCGCAGGCCTTGATTTCCTGAATCAGAGCCGATATATCAGAGTAAGATGACCCACCATCTTCCACGGCCTTCTTAGCCATCAAACCAAGCTGCTTTGCTCGCTCTCTGGTCTGCTCCGATTCTTCTGAAACGTCCATCAACCGACGTACACCTCTCTCTATCTTATCTCTCCCCACGACTGGACCCGTAATCCTAAATCCGGAATTCCACACCTCCGACCCGACTCCGACCCCAATCTTCAACACCTGCGTAATTAGCTTCTCGTTATAGAACTGTTCCGCGAACAACGGCCACGACACGAACGGCACGCCGGCAGCGACACCTTCCAGCACCGAGTTCCAACCACAGTGAGTCACAAACCCTCCGACCGCCGGATGCTCCAAAATCTGGATCTGTGGGGCCCACTCCCTCACTATTATTCCATTCTCAAAACAACCCTGGGACAACCACTTATGTTCTTCTTCTTCATCTTCCCTCTTCCTCACAACCCAAATAAAAGGGTGTCCAGAAGCTTCTAGAGCTGACCCAATCTCACTGAGTTGACTATCGGAGAATCGGACCATGCTACCAAAACATATATATAAAACTGAGTTGGGTTTTCTAGTAGTAGCGTTGAGCCAACTCATGACCCAACTACTAGTAGTAGATGACGATTTTGAGAGTAATCTGTTGGAGAAGTGAGAAACAGGGCCTAAGCTCCAACACTTCCTTCCAATGACGTTCCTCAAATGTTCAACGTAAGGGTGTTCGAGCTCATAGAAACTGTTAACGATTGTACCGTAGCTTTTAATCTCTGATTCCATGATTGTATTAATCAACTCTCCATACCTGTAAGTGACCGGGTCAAAAATTTTATTGCTAAAAAATAAATAATTATATTTTGTTTAGAAACTTCAACAGTTTTCAGATAAATTAAAATATTTAGCTTCTTCAAATGAATTATTAATTGATAATTATATTGAGTCAAATAAAAACGGTTGAGTGAAAAATAAAATAAAAACATTTGATTATGTCCATGTAATTTTAGAATTGCTGAATAATTTTAGAATTTATAAAAATTTATATATATTCAAAATAAAATATAATTTCTTTAATACGGTAAATTTTAAAAGTTATATATAATTAAAAAATAAACAAATATGAGCAAAGATAAAACTAGTCGATCAAGTCATATTAAAAAAAATATTAGTGGGAGCATATTTCTCGCAACAAATGTCCACTATTCAAAAGCCAATTTATTTTTTTTTTAATATTATTAATTTACTCTCCTTATCTTAAAGTTATAAAAGCATGAGAATTCACCATGATATATTTGAAAATTATATTTTTAATTTTTTTTTTTTTTTTTTTTTTTTGTTTGTTTGGATAGAGCCACGGAGGAAATATTAATTAAGGCTTTTATCATAGTTTTAGGAGGGACACTTTCAAAATAATACAAAATTCGTAGGTACATAATATATATATATATATATATATATATATATATATATATATCCGTGGGTGCATACCTGGTATTGGACTTGACATGATCTGGTAATTGAGACCTTGAGATCTCAATGTTGTGGGGAAGGCCAGGAATCACAAAACTCTCCGAATCGGACTGTACCTTGTCGTGAGGAGCATAGAGCTTCATGGAGTGCGACACACAGTGGAAGAAGAAGTTGGAGGGATTGAAGAAGAGTCTGGGAATGTGGAGCTCATTTGCAAGCTCCACAGTCCAAGGGAAGAACATGTCGGAGACGATGCAGTGAGCGCTGATACCTCGAATCAACGCCTCCGTGGGTTTCTGTAGCATTGCGATGCCCCGATAGAGTTTCGAAGTCATCCATGGTTCGGCTGCTGCGTGGAAGTTTTCGATGCCTTCCGGCAAATCAACTTCCGCGGACGGGAACTTGAGTGTGTGGACTGTGATTTTATTGCCGGAGGTGGCGTTGTCGCGGTCCACGGAGGATTGGAAGAGGAGGGCGTTTGCTGGGGTGGTGATGATGCTGACATCAACGCCGCGGGTGGCGAATAGCCTGGCTATGTCCACCAACGGGATGGTGTGGCTTGGAGTGAAGTATGGAAGAAACGACACTCTTAGTGGCTTACAATCTTTGGAATTCATATCGATCGACAATGCTACTTAGACCTAAAACTCTAAAGGAGAAGCTTTGGTGATCAGATATATTTTTGGATTGGAAGATGAACACTAGGTGGTGCCGGCTTTAAGAGGCAGTTTGAGACGGTGGTGTTGGGTTATAGCTGTCATTATTATGGTAAATAATATTTTTTAATGAAAATGACTTCAATTTTGGAACTTGTAATTTAATTTGTTTTTATTGTGATTGTCTTGTAGTCATGAAGTTCGTTGCATTGCATTCAGTGTTTCTTCATAAGGTAGCAACATTAATTCATGAAATTAGTAAAGAAATGATACATCTATCAATCGTCCCAAAAAGATATATATTGTGGGTCAAATATATTATATTATTGGTCAATCATATATTATTTTATTTTATTTCATTTCATGTCATGGATACCCCACCCAAGCGGTATCCTAATTTTTCATCAAGAAACTGTGTAGATGAAAATGATGGATCCAACCTTCCAAAAAAAAAAAAAAATTTGATGGATCTATTTGGGTTACACACAGTCAGTTTGCTAGGGCTTTGCATATGGGCTTTTTTTAAGTTTTTTTGGGCTTTATCCCTTGCCTTGTATTTTGTTTGCCATTGGGCCTTCTCTTCAGCTTCAGCTAAAAGCCTGTATCCATCATTTGATTAATACACTCTGCTCAACTTTCCAAAGAAATAAAAAAAAGTGTTGGGATGTGAATTTTATATGTAATAATTTTGTTGATATTTATCTTGTAGAATTCCTAATGACATGTATAATGATCGTTGCATTGCGGTTTTGAGAATCAATCCTGTAATAAGTTGTTTATTATATACGTTAATATGCAATGCAGAAAGATATAAAAATAAAAAAATACATGTTCCCCACTCTCTATTCAACTTGTTAGATCATAAAATATAAAAATAAAAATAAAAAACTTGTTAGATAGAATCCACCTGATTTTCATAAATATTATGCTTAGAATTATGAGAAAAATGTGATAGTACATGTTGGGAGAATTCTGCTTAAGTTGCTTAATCATCTTTCTGTTAACGACTCTAACGTAGGCTACTCAAATAGGCCTAATTTTCATTGATGTGCAGCACGGTGACTATGAATCATTGAATGGTGTGAGTATCACGATTCCATCCATCTTGTCGCCACATGAGCAAGATTGGCACCGTGGTGTGGTTTTGGTTCGTTTTGTCACGTGTTGACAGTGAAGGGTACTCAAATTCCTCCATCTTGCATTTGCAGATACTAATCAGTTCGAGTGGTGAGAGAGCCATGCATGAGAAGTAAATGATTGATGGTGAAGGAATTAATATTGATTGGTGTTTTCTGCTAAAAAAAGTTGGTTGATTAATTGTTATCTAAAATATGAAATCTGCTATGGAGTTTTGAAGCAATCTGCTGATTCTGCTGAGCATACCAGATACAAAGGCTCACTTGCACCATGTGGGATGGACATGAGAAAAATAAATGTACTGTGAAATTTTATATATGTTGCCTTTGAATTGACGAATTTGAAGAAAAAGAAAGAAATTAAGAAATTAACGAAGAAAAATCCTATAAATTCTTTCTGAATTCCTCCTGCTGTAAAATCATAGATTCACTACTACAAGGATGCATATTTGTTTGTCATGAGCTAAACTATCTCAATTTGTATTTCAATGTGAAAGACAGTACGGTACTAGACCTTATGCTAATACCATGACTTGATCAGAAGCATAAATTATTTCATTTGTTGTACTTCAGTTGTAAACAGAGCCTGTGAATATTACGGTAAACCAAGTTATATATGCAAAACGGCACATAAATGAGAAAACTATATAAAAGAGATCTTTCACATAATCAAATTCTTTATACTATCTTCGGTTGCAAGAAATTGAAGAAGATTTAATTTTAAACTTCGAATGTAGTTCTACATCAAATAAAATAAAATAAAGGTTGATTCATAACTCGTAAGTGGTTGCATGCGATATGACCAATTTCATTTTTGGCTGGCATCAACCTTCACTAACTATCAACTCCAATGAAAGAAAAAATTGATACAAATATACACACTTTAAGAGATGTAAGAGCAATTTTTTTAAACTTAAATGTGTTTTCGTTTGGGTAAACATGAGAGAAAAGAAAAAAAAAAAATTGATAACATTAGTTATAAGAGAAAAGAAAGCATATCAATATATTTTATTCATATTTGGATAAATTATTGGGGAAGAGAAAAGAAATGATAGTATTCTTGTTTGGAAAAGATAAAGGAGAAAAAATAAAAGAAAGGTTAAAAATTAAATTACTATCATAACCCTTTTATAAAATGTTACGAGATAGGAATCAAATGTTATAAAAAGATAATTTTGGTATTATGAAAATACTACTTTCTCACTATCTTTTCCCTCCAAATCTTCTCATTTTGGAGGATAGCACGTGAGGGATTTGGAGGGATCCCATCCTTTTTTTAATCTTCATTAAAAGCTACCCAAATATGATTTTCAGAATTTTTTCTTTTCTTTGTTTTTTTCTTTCCAAATCATTCAATTCAAACGAAGTTTAAGGCTATGTTTGGTACGGTGGGAAAAAAAAGAAATAATAATATTAGTTATGAGAAAAAGGAAAGAGAAGGATAATTTTAACCCCTATTATTTCCTCTTAATCTCTAGAGAGTATTATATATAGACATGAATATTGCGTCTTGTTTCGTCTTAATCTCTAGAGGATATTATATATATACCTGAATACCAATGGCCATATATTATATTATATATATATATCTTGTTTATAACTACCTCTATCCCTTTATAATTGTCCAAATCCATATTGCACAGTTTTTAAGGCAACAATTTTTGTCATAGTTTATTACATTGGTAAATGAAGCATTTCCAAATTTATCATTCTCTAAAAATTTGTAAAAGTAATATGAAAAAGTTATTTTTAATGGGGTCCACTTATTACATTGGTAAAAGTAGTATGAAAAAAGTTATTTTTAATGGGGTTCACTTATTTTAAAAAACTAAAATGAAACAACAAAAAATAAGATAATGAACTATTAATATGGGACGAAAGGAATAATATATTAAGTTATTATTAACAAATATTAACACGCCAATTTAATTAATTTGAGTACAATAAACGAGAATTTAATTAATTTGAGTACAATAAACGAGAATTTGAATATGAATTTTTGCAATTGAAATGCATATCGTCTGTGGACCTTTTTGAAGTATTTTATTAGATGCCGTGAACTATTTTTATTTTGAAATATTAAGCAAAATTGTTTGGAGAACTTCACTATTATGGAGCTGAGTTAACAAGGATAACAACAATAGGTCCAGATTGTAGATAAGAAACAAAACAAACCCAACATAAAAATAATAATAATAATAAGGAAAGAATAATAATTAGGTCTTAATTTTGTTATTTAAATAATAATTTAAACTTTAAATATTTTCTTTTTCTTTTTAATTCTAATTCAAAAACGTGAATTCTGTTAGGGTTTGATATACCATTACTAACTCATTTTCTGATGAAAAGCGCAGGCCTTGATTTCCTGAATCAAAGCCAATAAATCAGAGTAAGATGACCCACCACCATCCGCGGTCTTCTTAGCCATCAAACCAAGCTGCTTTGCTAGCCCTCTGGTCTGCTCCGATTCTTCTGAAACGTCCATCAACCGACATACACCACTCTCTATCTTATCTCTCCCCACTACTGGACCCGTAACCTAAACCCGGAATTGCACACCTCCGACCCGACTCGGACCACGATCTTCAACACCTGTGTAATTAACTTCTCGTTATAGAACTGTTCGGCGAACAACGGCACGCCGGCGGCGACACCAGCACCGAGTTCCAACCATAGTGAGTCACAAACCCTCCAACAGCCGGATGCTCCAAAATCTGGATCTGTGGGGCCCACTCCCTCACTATAATTCCATTCCCAAAACAACCCTGGGACAAGCACTTCTGTTCTTCTTCTTCATCTTCTCCCTTCCTCACAACCCAAATAAAAGGGTGTCCAGAAGCTTCCAGAGCTGACCCAATCTCACTGAGTTGACTCTCGGAGAATCGGACCATGCTACCAAAACATATATACATAACTGAGTTGGGTTTTCTAGTAGTAGTGTTGAGCCAACTCATGACCCAACTACTAGTAATAAATGATGATTTTGAGAGTAATCTGTTGGAGAAGTGAGAAACAGGGCCTAAGCTCCAATACTTCCTTCCAATGACGTTCCTCAAATGTTCAACGGAAGTGTGTTCGAGCTCATAGAAACTGTTAACGATTGTACCGTAGCTTTTAATCTCTGATTCTCTGATTGTATTAATCAATTCTCCATACCTGTAAGTGACTCGGTCAGAAATTTTGTTGCTAAAAAATAAATATTTTGATTAGAAACTTGAACAGATTTCACATAAAATTATATTTAGCTTCTTCAAATAAATTATTAATTGATAATTATATTGAGTCAAATAAAAACGGTTGAGTGAAAAATAAAATAAAAGGGTTGATTATTTCCATGTAATTTTAGAATTGCAGAATAATTTTAGAATTTATAAAAAAAAATTAAATATATTCAAAATAAAATATAACTTTTTTAATGAGGTAAATTTTAAAAGTTATATATAATTAAAAAAAACAAATTTGAACTATAAAACTAAAGAGATAGTCGATCAAGTCATATTTAAAAAAAAAAACATTAGTGGGAGCATATTTCTCACAACAAATGTCTACTATTCTATTTTTGTTGTTCCAAATTAATGGTTACAATTCAAAATTCAATTTATTATTTTTTAATATTATTAATTACCCTCAGAGTTATAAAAGCATGCGGATTCAGGCAAATGGGGACAGATGTCACTCACTTAATTTTTTCTAAATTATATTATTACTTATAATTTTAATTAAAATTTTAAAAATGTCCCCAATTTAAAATTTAAAATTTAAAATTTGTTTACAATATATTTTTTTAATTCTTGGACTCCGTGGTTATGAATCATATATTATATTATTGGTATGTTGAGCTATCATATAAACTTATTGAGACCAATTTTTATGATCTTGGTGGTAAAGTTACTCAATTGTAGGGCAAAATCTCTAACTGGATCAGAGGGATGCTTCATTGATTCTAGGGCTTTGAGGTCGAAAATTGAATCTGCAAGCAACTTGGTTTACTGGGATTGCGACAATAATAAAAGCCCCCATCTCGACCTCCGGACTGAACCTAAGCTTCCATCCTCAAACATTTGTGGTATATGGGATACCCACACAATACCCTAATTTTTCATCCAATGAACTGTGTCGATGAAAATGATGATCTATTTGTGGGGATACACAATCAGTTTGCTAGGGGCGTTACCTTTTGAATATGGGCCTTTTTTTAGTTTTTTTGGGCTTTCTCTTTTGCATTGTATTTTGTTTGGCCTTGGGCCTTTCTCTTAAGCCCAAGCTAAAGGCCTGTATCCATCTTTTGATTAATATAATTTGCTTAACTTTCCAAAAAAAAATAATAATAATTGGTGTTTGGGATGTGAATTATATATGTCATAATTATGTTGATACTCATCTTATAGAATTCTTGACAAAAAAATCTTAGGTGTGTTCGGTTGTATGGAATTAGAGCCTTTGAATAATAATTTGTGGAATTTTAGAAAAACAAATAAGAAAATTTAACCAAAATTTTCTCAAATTTCTCGAATTCTAATTTCATGTAGGCGAATATAAAATTCCCAATGAAATGTATAAAGATCATAAGTTGTTTATTATATATGTTAATATGCAATGCAGAATGATATATAAAAATAAAAAATACTTGCTCCCCTATGACTAGAAATATAGCATGATCCCCACTCTATGTTCAACTTGTTAGATCATAGATGGAATCCACTTGATTTTCATAACTATTTTGCTTAGAACTATGAGAAAAATATGATTGTACATGTGGGGAGAACTCTGTTTGAGTTGCTTAATCATCTTTCTGGTTGATGATTCCAATATAGGCTGCTCAAATAGGCCTAGTTTTTCATTGATGTGCAGGAATGCTAACAACAATCATACATGTGTGGTGTGGTAACTATCAATCATTGGATGGTATGAATATCACAATCCGGTTCAATCTTGTCGCCACATTAGCACGATTATCACTTGTATGATTTTGGTCCATTTTGTCACATGTTGACAATGAAGGGCACTCAAATTCCTCCATCTTAATTTATTATTATTTTTTTAAAAGGTAAAGTTGAAAAATTCTTCCATCTTGCATTTTGCAGATATCAATCAGTTGAGTCGTGAGAGGTAGATGATTGATGGTGAAGGAATATTGTTGTTTTCTGCCCAAAAAAATGTCTACTTGTTATCTAAAAAATGAAATCTGTCATAGAGTTCGAAACAATTTGCTGAACATACGGGGTCTTTGGGGATTAGTCGACCCAAAGTTCCGGATACCTAGATTAACATACTAGATACAAAGGCTCACCTGCACCACGCGGGGAGTAATGGACACATTGTGGACCATAAATTATGAATCATTAAGCGACATTAGGCACAAGGCCATGACTTGTAGAACTGAGGATATGATTATAAAATATGGTCGGGATGGAATAATCTTACTGGCGAATTTGAAGAGAAGAAAGAAATTAAGAAATTAACGTAGAAAAATCTTATCTAAATTCTTTGTGAAATCATAGATTCACTACTACAAGGATGAATGTTTGTCATTTGTGTTCTCTGAAATAAAACCATCTCAATTTGTACTTCCATGTCATGAAAGACAATAATAGACCATGACTTGAGAAGTATAAATTCTTGGATTTGTTGTACTTCAGTTGTAAACAGAGCCTGTGAATATACAATAAACCATCCTATATATGCAAAACGTGTACCAGAGAGCTACTAATTCAAGGTTAAAATTATGAATCGAAACATTTGACAGTAATACAACTTCTGTGGTACCTAGATCGAGTAGTTTTGCGTAGAATGTCATTTTTTATGCACCACGACGATGCTGTTTCTAGATTGAATTATTCCACCCTCGACAGTCCATTCAAGAAATATAAAATGACATTATGATTTGGTCTAGATAGGAATGACACGGTACATAAATGAGAAGTTTTTTTACTCTGTTTCTTAGTATGAATTAGGGGTGGGACTTGGGCAGATTGAGTGGGCTAATGGGTAGCCCATACCAAACTCAAGGTTCTAATACTTAAATCCGCGTTGGAGGAATCCATCACATCTCAAGTCATGCCATAACGTACAGATTTTGTGAGTTTTTTGAGTTTCCCAAGTCATCTCAAATCGTAAAATCCTATTAATAAATAAATATTAATTTTTATAATTTTATTTTATTTTGTTAAAATATATAACTACTCACACTAATCTAATAAAATTCATTTTTATTAGAATACGAAAATAACCCAACTTATAATCTTTAGAATAAAGTGCAACTAACCCCCTCAACTATTCCCTAAATGCAACTAACCCCCCTCAACTACAAATAATCTCCTTAAGTTTTAGGACAGAGAAAGTATTTTCGGTACACTTTCAACACCTGAAATTAATAAAGACCTTTTTACCCTTTGCATAACAAGTTGCTCTTTAATAATGAGGTATTGTTATAAAATTGGCTAAATAACGTGGGACCATGTAATCAGAAGAGCCACTAAAATTTTGACGTCTATACAACCTTATCGCAACAAACCAATGATATTCGACAATACATGACAATTATCACCTCCCACAACACTCGCCAATTTCTTGACATGAAGATAAAAAAAAAATTGGAGAAAAAAGAATTCATAAAAAGGTATATGCAGTGGGAGGGAGAGAGGAGAGAGACGCTCAGCATGGTGAACAAATTTTTTTCTTTCTTCTATATCAGGATTTTGGAATGAGTAAAAGGGAATGTTTCAATGCAAGAATTTAGGCATCCATAATTCCTTATTTACCTTGACAGATCCAATTCATCACCATCCAAAGTTCCAAACCCAGTTTCAGACTTATTTTTTTTCTCGGTAAATGAACCCAATTTCAAACTTCCATTACTCAAACTTCAGATTTTATAATTCAATTTTCAATTGTTCACTTCAACTGTGATTCTTGTTGTGGATGTGTAAGTGTTGGCGTTGTCTACAGCTAATTCTCTCCGGTCTCCGACGACCCCTTCGTCTGCAAATCAATGAAAAAAATGCGAACTCTATGATTAGATCGATCGCATTGCCTCGAAAAGGAACTGAAGATTTTGCAGCTCTTGAGTGCAAGCCCTAACATTCTCCAAATCAACAAGGACAAGAATTACCTCCACGTCGTCACTGATCTCTGCAATTCCTCTAATCTCTACGATCGTATGCGATTCCTCTGATCTCTACCATTGTATCTCAAAGCGCACATTCTTTCGCAAAGTTGAACGATAAATATATATATATATATAGGTATAGGTATAATGAGATATAGAGAGAATTGGGTTCAAGCGACAAATTTAGGAAGATGAAGATAGAGACCTTAGGGCGTGTTTGGATGGGTATTGGGTTGAATAGTAATAGAAGGGCACTATGGTCTTTTACTTTTCATAAGGGCTATACAGTCATTTAATAAAATTTGGATTGTCGCGTGACCCGTCGTCGGATTGGGCAAATTGCAACCAAAGGGCTAAGTTCAGGAGGGTTTTATGCTACTGTAGTAGTCGATTGGGCAAATTGCAACCAAAGGGCTAAGTTCAGGGTTTTATGCTACTGTAGTAGTCTAAGGGGGTATTTTGCTAAAAGGGATATAGTTAAAGAGAATTTATTGCACTTTACCCTAATCTTTATTATTTTTCTGAAAGCAAGTGCGTATAAGTTTGGTGAGCACCTACTCTAAACATTAAATCATCTAGCTAGTATTACCTTTATTTTACAAAAGCAATATATAACATTAAAAATATAAAAATTATATTGTTTTCTTGTATTTCGTGTTGCTCAGGTTAGTAAAATATTTGTCCAAATTCCGCCGAAAATAAATTTAGACTCTAAAATTTAAATTCAATCCCGTCCCATGGTCCTAAGTACCTTGACCATGCTTGTGGAATTCGGGTTGCTCG